GCCAACCCTGGGCGTTTTTGCGCCTGAAGCAAATCAAGTGGGTTGGGTGTGTGGCACCAGCACACACACACACACACACACAAAAAGCGCCCTGGCAGTGGAATTAGGCAAATTGACGAGCGAGTGCATGTGGCACGCCTCTTGTGGCAACGTGTCGGGCAAAAACGCCGAGCGCGGAACCAGCACAATCCAGCATGTGCACACTTGGGGGCACACGAGGCAGTCCACCTTGTGCCTTGACACGCGATTCCCTTCTCACGAGATGACCAGGTGACTAGCCAATCACAAAGTGCCCTTGAAATCGCCTTTTAGCCTGCACATGATGGTGGACGGTCCGCGACGCAAGAACGCCACTCGGGAGACCACGGCGACGCTGAAGGCGTGGCTGCAGGACCACGTGACCAACCCCTACCCCACGAAGAGTGAGAAGATCATGCTGGCGATCATCACGAAGATGACCTTCAACCAGGTGAGTCCCTCTGGGAGATTGCGGACTGGCCTGTCCTGATTTTCCACTTGCACGCTCGAAGTTGGTGCGGTGACGAGAGCTGTACCAAATCACGACAGATTCGCGTTATCTGGGGGAATGTGTAGGTTGCCTACCTGACATTGGGTACTTTGAATCATCCAAAAATGGTGAATTAGTTCCTCCTAGTTGAATAAGTCGGAAAACGAGGTTTGAGAATAGAACCTGTTGGTACGTTGAACATCAAAAGACGTCAAGTATGGCGTCGTGTTTGTGATAGTTGTTAAATCATCGGGTTTACGACGATGTCATCTGTTTGACAAAACGGCGGACGAAACGAAATCCACATGGGGTGGATTGGTCGCACTAACCTCACGAGAAGTCATTGAGCGCTAAACCGACAGAAAAGGAAGCGCTATTTGCTTATTTGACAAAGATTGGATTTGGACACGAGCAGTGCCTCGGGCCGTATCCTAATGGCCACGGTTACTCTCTAATCGCAGTGACGCGAAGTTGACAGACGACTGACTAGGCAATCAAATGGACGGGATCATAATCTGGTGTTTCAATGTCGAGACCACTAAATCAATATTTGGAACGCGTGAGCTACTGCTGAAGTTTCAATTTACCAACAATGATGTTGATGATAGCCAGTTTCGAGTTGTAAAATTGCTGTCTTGCTGCTTCCAAACCTCTCTGATTCATTTATTCACAAGTGAATTTGAAAATTTACGCGAAAGGGCTGGTTATACAAGGAGGTCAATTGAGCCATCAGACTTAAGGGAGTAGTAACCGGTCGATAATGAGGAGACAGTCTATTGGCTTATTAGACACCAAACTCTCTGACCCACATGATCATGGGAATTTCGATTAAACCAATCATAATTATTGCGTAGTAAATTCAATTAAATGGCATTTTTCACGAATTAGGTTTCGACCTGGTTCGCGAACGCACGACGGCGTCTTAAAAAGGAGAATAAAATGACCTGGTCACCGAAAACCGGCTCCTCAGAGACTCGCCCCAAAGTCCCAGAACTCGTGCCTCCTGAAACCGACTGCTCCGAGGACGAGAGCTCCAACGGACTCGCAGACGGCGACGACGACAGCAGCCTTGAAAGGAAGCGTCCACACGTAGACGAGGTGGACAGCGAAGAGCCATATCCCAAACGCCCCGTCCTCCTCAGCCCATCACACATCGACTGCTTCGATCACCGAGCTAGCGTTCCTTCCCTTGCACCGCTTCACCCTCCGTCGTCATCTGACTGGTCGAGTGAGATGTCCAGCTGTGGAGACTCCGACTTGCGGCCACCACCACCACCACCGCCACCACCTCCGCCCGTGTATAACGCCACAGCCTACCACTCCCAGCCGCACCTCGGGCTACCTCACTTCGGGTACCCTGTCTACAACCAGAACTATAACCAAAACCATCAACCAATCCACCACGAGTACTGATAGACGCTCAAACTGATCCCCCTGCGTTTTGTATGTAAACCACCCTTGCAAAGAATCTTCACCAACTCCTTTTTCATCGTTCACTTCCCCATTTTACTAAACTCATTAGACTGCAACTGCCTCTCACGCGCATGCAAATTCAAAGAAGCCAACAAGTCCAACGGAGTTACTGTTTGTAATTCTTACTTCCTGTGATCGAGGAGCGTCTGTAGAACGAGTTGAGGTTTGCTAGTGTGCATCGTCAAAGGTGTAACTTTTGTGCCCCTGTACAGCATGGACCGAATGGGTGAAAGTGATTGGTTAGTCTAGGGTTCAGGCCAAGGTCAGGTTCTAACAGCCTAAACGATCAATCTCAGTTAAGCGCTAGTTGGCCTAACAAGACGAACGAATAGAAAAAGCAGCACTGACTGGGAATTGTAGCAGTCGTGAGCAGTGTTTGCATGAGGTAGCTAGATCGAAGGTTTAAGATTATACAAGGTCACGAGTTTTGTGTCCCTCAATGATTCGATTTGGACAATCAAAACACGCCAATTAGCCGACCTACATTTCCTCTTGGGAAACAGTTTTGTTGAGTATTTAAAACCTGTTCCAAATTTAGTCAAAAAGGCGTCTCGAGCGAGTTGTAGAGCAACCAATAACTTAATGGTAGTGTTAGAATGCCTGTGATTGGTCGGCTTGCCTTCCCAAATTCCAGAGACCCTCGTGCCTCTTTTGATTCTCGTGCACCCTCGCCCTACGACAGGTGGCTGGCGCGAAACCTCGTCGTTCCGCGGAGTAAAACAGCTTTTGTATCAAAAGGGGTGAAAGAACTGTTGAAGCCTAGGTGCAACTGTTTCCCATCACCTTCCCTAGCTCTCTCTCTCTCTCTCTGGCCCCCGTCCCAACTTTTTTTCTCTGATTTTCTAAGCGCATGGAAAAGAAGTAAAACTTGGTGCGTGCGAGCGTGCGTACATGCCTTGTGTGATATAAAGTGAAAGA